CCAATGATTTGGAAACTCCCTTTCCGGCATTCCGTTATCGTTAAACAGATCTCCATCCTTAACCTGCCGCATTTAAGACCAAGAACACACGGTCATGGTTCTTGAACGTTGCAGTTATACTCTACTGTCTGTAAAAAACAAAGGACAAAGGAAACATTGTGATATTTACCTGAAGCCATCTGGCTACATTGCTCTTGTAACCAGTGGCGAAGATAATGGCGTCTATGTTTTTGTTCTCTCCGTTTACAAACTTGACTCTGTTCCCTTCTATGCTTTTGATTGATTGCACAACCTTCAAAGAAAAAAAAAACACAAACAATAAAAAAAATTATATTTTCTTGTTCTGTAGTATTTTGCAGTGTACTGTCATTTTTGTTAAAGTACCCGAATGTTGCCGGATTTGATGAGGTTCAAACAGCCAACGTCGATGGTGGGCGATCTTCCGGTCTTCATCTTGAGAAGAAATGGGCCTAATTTGGGCCTTTGAAGCCCATATGTCGATGTGTCTCCCATACTCATCTTTGCGAGGAACAGGCAGAGAAAACAGCCAACGTCGATGGTCGGCGATCTTCCGGTCTTCATCTTGAGAAGAAATGGGCCTACTTTGGGCCTTTGAAGCCCATATGTCGATGTGTCTCCCATACTCATCTTTGCGAGGAACATGCAGAGAGTGTCCACCAGTTTTACGGGGAGGATCTTCAATTTCAGAATCGTCATTGCCATTTGCACTATGCGTTGCAAATCTGTAAGCTTCTATCAAAGATCTCAACTAATTATTTTCGTTTCCCATTGTAATTGGAGAAGGTCATATGCGAGGGAAACAGGTACCGATTTCTGTTTCTGTTCTTTAGTTCTTGAATCCAAGGTAGAATATATGATGTTAAATCTTTGGCTTTCTTGTTTGGGAACAGGTCATACCTGCAGAAGAACATGCTGCCAAAATAGCATCAGCCCGAGATGCTATCGGAGATTCCGATTTTTTCCTCGTGGCTAGGACCGATGCCCGTGCTACATCTGCAAAGTCGGGTCTTTCGGATGCCATAGCTCGTGCCAATCTTTACATGGAGGTAAAAAAAAATCATGTGTATTCTAAATCATGTCTGGAAAAATATTTAGAAGCATCGAGTGCATATACTCTCCTCCAAAGCTCTCCTTCAGCCCCTCTATCGCCGGAATCACCCCCTCTCCGTTCTCCCCCGTCGCCACCACCAGAAACTCTGCCACGTAGACCTCCTTCCCTCCCGTCGCCACATCGTCAGCCTCCACCACCCATCCTCCCTCGTGAGACGCCGACGTAACGCGGCGGGTGTACCTAGGGGTTATGCCGAAACGGGGTACGGACTCGTCAAGGTAAGCGGTGAAACCTTGCTTGGGGACGAAGGTGGGTGCATGGCGGGGGAATGCCATGTGAGGGAGCTCGCAGAATTGCTTCGCCAGGTGGAGCTTCAGACGGTCGTAGGACCTTCTCCTCCACAGAGAGGCACTGCAGTCTTCTCTCTCGAGTACAACGTTCGGTATGCCAAGCCGGTTAAGGCATGCAGACGTTGCTAAACCGGCCGGTCCAGCTCCGATGATCAGAACCGTGACACTTTCTTGCTCCATGACTAGACCTTTTGATTAGTGGTCAATAGAACTGTTCTGGTGATGTCCAGGCTTGCAAGTATATGTGACTGCGTATGTGTGTATATATATATACACACGCACTGATTCTGAATATATTTTTTTCCATTTTCGGTATATACGCATAATTTCCTTAATGGAATCCCATTTCAAGGTTAAGTTTCTACAAATCAAGGTTTTGGATGGTAGGGTTTCCAATTTTATATTACTGCCATTTTTTTGCAATCTGCAATTTTGCAAGAAAAAGTAAAGAGGACTGATTCGGTTTCTACAGAAACCCGCAAGTCCTGATGCTCTGATTTGTGTATATTTACACAATCGACATGTAATTATAACAGAAGATGCATTGAGTTTTTAAAAGTGAAAAAAAAAATAGAAATAATCACTAAACATCATAGTATTTGTCAGGGAAGAGGCATCGGAGATCTCCAGCGACTGAACTCGACGAGGTCTCGGTTGACGACGCTGCCATCGTGCAGCCAAAAGGTCTCGGCCGACTGCTGGAAATGCCTGATTTTCCGCTGCAGCTCCCACAGGATCCCGTCAACCGCCGTGCACTGCTCGGATTCCCCACCGTACACGAACACACACCTTATTTCCCGACCACGCTCTATCATTCCTTCTATGTCTTTGTCTGAAATTACAACATTCTCCCCCCAATAACGAAAAAAGAAGAGTAGTAGTTAGCTTGAGAAATTCGGGATAGGTACCCCAAAAATTTAAGGATACCCTCACCCATATCCGAGTATCTGAAAAATTCAGAGTATTTATGCCCACGCCTGTCGTCAATCTTGTCAAGGAAAAGCATTTTTATGAAGAGAAAAACTCACCCGATATCGAAGCCAGGTAATCGAGAAGCTCAGTGCTAATCCGAGTCGACGGCCATTTGATGGATACCCGGGAGTAATCGATCACGTTCTGGAAAGGCAGCTCCACTTTATCAGACAAGATCACTGGAACACACTCCTGTACATTAAACCAGGTTACAGTATGACAAAGATAACGAGAATTAAGCTCGGGGAGAGAGAGAGAGAGAGAGAGAGAGAGAGAGAGAGAGAGAGACCACAAAGAAAGACTCGTAAAAGCGGAGAGTCCAAGATGATTCTCCGCGGGGAGCGAGGCAGAACTTTGCATTCCTCAGATGTTCAAAATATTCCGACCTCCCGAGCTTTTCATTCCCACTGAACTTCAAGTCTGGACATTCCAACTGTTACACATTTATCAGTATGTATACTTTTTTCTCAATGAGCGCTAAAAGTCATAAAGCGGAGAACTTGACTGGTTCTGTGAAGGAGCCTTACCTTATCTGGATACTGCTTCGAAAGCTCTATCAACTTAATCCGACCAGCTTTTCCTTGGGCACGACCCAAGTAGTTAGCCAGATATTTCCTCTTTGATAGAGGCAAAGGCCGAACGGCGGGTGGCCCATTTCTAGTCATTCCATCATCAACATTCCCCGGAATTATTATATCTTTCCATGTATCGAAAGCACTTGTGTCTTTCTTGTCAGTCCTGTCACCCTGCACCCACAATCACTAATGAGTTTCTGTAAAATGATCTTGAAGAACCCAGTTTTGTAATGCCATTTATGAAATCCAACAGAAAACATCCGATATAGTTCAGAAAATTGAGAGATCAAACATGTTTTAACCTTGGTCCTCATGTCATGTTATTATAACTGTACTGCTTATACTTCATTGTACAAGGAACAAACAAGATGAGCTCTATGCTGATGTTCAGGAGCATAGGATGTAGCTGAAGAAGTCCAATAGCAAGCAATCAAAGACAACCTGAAAAAACCAAATACCTCGGGAGTCAGAATGATGGAGCGGTTGATGAACGTTGACCAGGATCTAAACAAGTGAGCTCCAGCACCGCTGGAATTTCATAAAGCAAAATCCGCCTTTCATTAATGATACATCTCCCATATTGGATTGCCTCAGAAAAGAAAAATACGAGATAAGAGGAAAAAGAAACAATTAGATTCCATACCTAGGAAATACAAATACATGATCCCGACCTCCAGACCTGCGGAAATATGGCATTTGTTTCAAGACCTGGAGAAAAGAGAGTAAGTGAAATCTATCATCTTAGATTGATATAAGAAACAATGGAATCTGGAACTCGATCAGGGAATCACGAAATTGTCCACCTCCACGTAGGTACGATTGATTTCCTTATCGTTAAGACCACCCATCATTCTTACACATTTGACATAAGCCGGCACAAAAAACAGATCCGCTTCCTCTTTCCTCCTTGTCCTAAACCTTGACTCCAGAAGCAATTTGTGTATTTTAACCTACCATTATATATGTATATAAGCAAAAACTTCATAAGACAATGAAGCGAAGAAGCCGAGTTTTACCTGAGAGCCCCATTGGCCTTTCAGACAAGAGGTGGTCTTGATGCTTCCATCTCTACCATACATCAGCTCTTTTAGACCGTCAATCTCGTTCTCGGTATATACATAGATCTTCAGGGACAGGTGGGACCCGTAGCCTCGCTCCGGCCACCGGAAAGTTCCGCTGCTACCCGCTGTTCCAACAACTGAATTATCGCGGATATCAACCGATGATGTGAGGGAGTTGCAGGTCGAGAATGACTGATCAAAAAGCCTTGTGAAGAAGAAGGTAACGACTACAAGGAAGAGAGCACTGATCTGGTGTGTGCGAATGCACGGAGTCGGGAAGTGGCTGTACACGCCAAGATTTCTGGGTTTACTGGTTAAGCTCGCCATCTCTCTTTCTCTCTCACTCACATTGCCAAAATTTCTGTGAACTTATAACAAAACACAGAGATGAAACGTCAACCTAGAAACCAATTCAATACACAAAAGGGTTAACGAGAATGAGAATTTCCAAACATGTTGAAGAACCCATGTTACTACCAGAGACAAGTTAGAAGCTAAACATAACAGGTTCAGGACAAAACAAGCTTAAGAAGCATTATACATTCACACATGAAAACACATTTTTTTTTGTCAAGACATGAAAACACATTACTTGAGAATGTTACGCAATCCACAAAGCAGCCAAAATGATTTAGCACTTTTGCACAGATTTCACAAGCATCATCTAATGCATGATTCACTGAAATGCAGAAAGAATCGATGAGAGAAAACCCACATCTTTTACAAGACGCTAGCAATTCAAAACTCAAAACCCAGAAAAAAGAAGAAGCACATCTTGCATCAGGCTACACAGAAAAGTCGAGAAATCACTCATTTTTACAAGCGTCGAGCATGGAGCAATTCAAAACTCAAAACCCAGAAACAAAAGAACATGTATGGCCAAATCTATGGAATGCAACGAAAGAAAACTGATCCAACGATGGAACAGATACAAGTTCCGCAAGAGAGATAGATAGAGAGAGATTACCGGTGGAGTCGCGGGTGAAGTTGAGATCGAAAATTCAAGGGCTTAGCAAATGGGATCGAATCATCGACATCGAGAGAGAGGAGAGAGGAGATTGCGGGTCGGCGAGAGGGAGGATTTAGCATAGGCTTTTTCGTGATTGTTTAGTTTTGACAAGGGTATTTTGGTCAGTTGATATATTTTAAACGCAGAATCCGAGATCAGACGATCAAAATTGTTAAGCTTCAACGCAAAAATTCAGACGTTTCGTCCAGGCACTGAATCTGAACTTTGAAAACGGTCTAAAAAACGAGCAGAAATCCGAATTCCGAAGTTCGAAATCGTCAGGCGGATTGGTTTGCCGTAGATCTAACGGGGGTAGGTGATCCGTGCGAGATTCCGGCGGAACAATGGTGCTGATTTCTGCCGTGCGCGATTACATCAACCGGATGCTTCATGACATTTCCGGCATGAAGGTCCTCATCCTGGATTTGGAAACGGTAATCCCATTTCTTCATGCTCTTTCCATCGATTTTCGGTGATATGTTTTCTTCTCTAGTTTTGTGTCTAGATTCATGATTCTCTTGGTTGCAAATCTTATAGAAGTTCCGATTTTCTATGGAAAACATCAGGTGGTGGAGCCAAATATGGCTCGATTTCCCTGGAATTCTGAGATTAGGGAAGAGGCTTAGGAGAATTCGCATGTGAAAATCGATTGGTAATTATAGGTCTTCTTTAACGAAAATGATGAAATGTTTGTCCTTGGAAAATTAAACGAGTTGAGATGAATAAGCTAGCAGTTAACTCCTAGAGGGTTACTCAGTCTGATCAGTGTGAATAACAGATCCAAAGCTGGGATAAAGGAGGAGGCTTGTTATATGTAGTTGAGAGCTGTTGAATTTGTAGATCGTTTAGCTTGAATTAATATATGTACTCAGAATCCACCAAGCGAGGGTGAAGTCTTGGTTTGAACCTAGAATTAGCTCTAATCTTCAGTTTGATTCACACGTCTAAATGGTTGATCTATTAGGACTCCCAAAATGGCAATTACTCAGGGAAAGATTAGGATGATTTTCTTGTAATCACTTGACATTGGGAGAATCTGAAGATTCATCTTCTGGTTTGATTCGTGGATTTGTTTGATCGTAAATCCAGTTGGGTTATGATGGAGTCGTTTTTCTCCTTTATATTTTGCGGATGGAATCTATGTAAAATTAATGAATAAATCCAATCCAATCCAATCCAAAGTATACGATTTTCAAGACCAAATGACAGGAGAATAAAAAAGACTGGATCACAGTCGACATTACTTTAGATTTCTTTGGCTTTCAGGTTAGTCATGTAAGTGTTGTGTACTCACAGTCAGAGCTGCTTCAGAAAGAAGTGTTTCTTGTGGAATTGATAGATTCAATCTCTGTGTCAAAAGAATCAATGTCACACCTGAAAGCAGTTTACTTTGTCCGACCAACTTCTGAGAATATTCAAAAATTACGGCAACAGCTTGCTAATCCTAGATTTGGAGAATACCATTTATGTAAGTTCTTTAAATTTTTAGGTATTTTGAGATTACAATTGTTCTGTAATTACATAACAGATTTTGATTCTTTCTATCTAATGTTTCTTGCAGTTTTCTCCAATCTATTGAAGGATACGCAGATTCATATTTTAGCTGATTCAGATGAGCTAGAAGTTGTACAGCAAGTTCAGGTGGTTTTTCAAGGTTCTTATTTGATTGACTTATCTCTAGCGGCATTCTGTAGGCAGTTAGCGTATATTGGTAGCATATAAGGTTTTTCTCGTTAGAAGTATCTGTATTGACTATTTCTTTTTCGAAAAGCAGCCATATCTGTGGAGGTTAATGTTTCCTCTGCTTGTCCGAAGCATGTTTGCTGCAACCTATGCGGCAGACTTATTTCCTTTTAAGAAGACTAGAGCACATTAGACCAAAACCCATTTTGCCTAATGTTATATTTTTGGTCTTTGTGTTGCAGGAGTTTTATGCAGACTTTGTTGCTCTTGATCCATATCATTTCACGTTAAATATGGCATCAAACCACCTATATATGCTCCCTGCAGTTGTAGATCCCTCTGGACTGCAACGCTTCTCTGATCGTGTCGTCGATGGAATTTCAGCAGTGTTTTTAGCTTTGAAACGAAGACCTGTAATCAGATATCAGAGAACCTCTGATACTGCTAAAAGGATTGCCCATGAAACAGCTGTAAGAAACTTGCTATTTGAAAGTTAAACTCACATTCTTGGACATTGACATGTGTTTATTAATGACTTTGCTAGATAGAGCATACTTATTACTGTCATTTTGAGTTATTATTTTTGCATGCTCACGATGAACCTAGATTTGAGTTTACGTACCATATGAAAGAGACTGAAAGCTTTTCTGCTATAGTCATTGAAAGACACTGTTATGTTTCAGAAACTGATGTATCAGCAAGAAAACGGTCTTTTTGACTTTAGAAGAAGTGAAAGCTCCCCATTGTTGCTGATAATTGACAGAAGAGATGATCCAGTTACACCATTGCTGAATCAATGGACCTATCAGGTGCACTTGTCATAAATCCAGTATTATACTGCTCTATGATATAAGATGTGCCTCCTGATGGCTTATTGTCTGATACTATGCAGGCAATGGTGCACGAACTCATTGGAATTCAAGATAACAAAGTGGACTTGAGAAGCATCGGAAATCTTCCAAAAGATCAGCAAGTTGTTCGAACTTCTATATATTGCCATTTATGTTAGCTGGGAACTATATACCCAATAATCTCTTTCCATCGCAGGAGGTGGTGTTGTCATCAGAACAAGATGCTTTTTTCAAGGCTAACATGTACGAAAATTTCGGAGATATTGGAATGAATATCAAGCGGATGGTGGATGACTTTCAGCAGGTGGCAAAGAGTAACCAAAATATTCAGACTGTCGGTATGTATAAGGCTAGACCTAAAACTATGTTTTGCGGATAATACTATTATCAGTTTCATCACTGCTAACTCATGACAAAGTATAATCATTGAGTACATTGATTTCACAGAGGATATGGCCAGATTTGTTGACAACTACCCTGAGTACAGAAAAATGCAAGGCAATGTCTCAAAGCATGTAACTCTGGTCACTGAGATGAGCAAGATAGTTGAGGCAAGGAAACTGATGCTGGTTTCACAAACAGAACAGGACTTAGCTTGCAATGGTGGCCAAGGAGCTGCATATGAGGTAATGGATGTATTTCGTGTTTAGTAACAAAAATCCATTTATTCATGAAAAAAAAAAGCCACAGAATGAAGGTATAGTATAATAAACAGTTGCGACCTGCTGAAGCTTTTTACAAAATGATTTTGCATTCTTGGTAACCTATCACGTATTGAAATCAGATGCAATATCTCTGTGCCCAGTGAGATAAAGAACTTGATTGAGAAAAATAGTCCAAGCTAGCATTTTATGGTTGCATGATCCTGTTGCTTGCACTAACTCCCGACTCTCTTCCTTTACCAAAAAAACTCACGACTCTCTTTTCATGTTTTTTGCAGGCGGTTACAAATCTCCTAAATAACGACAGTGTATCTGACATTGACCGCCTACGTTTGGTGATGTTGTATGCTTTGCGGTACGAGAAAGAAAATCCCGTTCAATTGATGCAACTATTCAACAAATTGGCTTCACGGTCTCCAAAATACAAACCAGGGGTACGAAAGAAGTTATAGCTTGTTTCTATTCGATTGAATTCTGATATATTCCTTACTGGCATTTATTTCATGTACCTTCGTATGTAATATACCGCTTTCCTTCTGTCTACCTGCATATAATCTGTGGTTTTACTTGGGCAATAGATACACCTTTTCCTAAGTTCTAGTCATCAACTCTCCGGATAACTTAATCAAAGTTCAATTACAATATTTTTCTAATTCTAACGGTTAAACCATCATGCAACTGCAGCTTGTACAATTTCTCCTGAAACAAGCCGGTGTTGAGAAACGTACTGGTGATCTTTATGGAAACCGGGATCTTCTTAATATCGCTCGTAACATGGCTCGTGGTCTCAACTCCCCGAGGACATTATCTGTTTCCCGACATATAATCTTTCGAATATGTAATATTTTTCAACTGCTTATATGCAGGGTATTGAGAATGTATACCCCCAGCACCAGCCTCTTCTGTTTCAAACCATGGAGAGCCTAACCAAGGGGCGATTACGGGATGTGGACTACCCATTTGTCGGAAATCACTATCAACAGGGCCGGTATGTCAAACTGGTTTTGGAAAAAAAATCCGTCTTTATGCTTGACCATTCCGGGATATCTGGGATCCATGTATATGTACATACATGCTCCTAACGAAATCATTGGTGAACAGGATGCAAGAGGTGGTTATATTCATGGTGGGTGGGACAACGTACGAGGAATCACGCTCTGTTGCTCTGCATAACGCCTCCAATCCCGGGATTCGTTTCATTCTTGGCGGCACGACACTTCTTAATTCCAAGAGGTATTTTTAGGTTACTGATTTTATTTTAACACCAATCACCGATCAAAAACTTTACAAGGGATTCGGCCATCTCGGTGAATCTTGTTCACGTCACGTCATGGGACTAAATATCAATATATATATATGGCATGAACTATATGGATCAGATTTCTCAAGGACCTGGAAGAAGCACAGAGGATATCACGGTCAGGCAGCCATATGGTGTGAAAGATCAGAAGGAGCCTGTAAAAATAGGTCGATACTTGCATCAAATCTCGACCTGAGAAAAAAAAGGCCGGTGATATTTCAGGAGATGTGTTTTTTTTTTTTGTATAGCGGTGTTTGGGCATACAACGTTAGCAAGTTAACTACTAACCTTGATCCACAGATGAAAACCCTAATACTGCGGTATGAGCTTTCAGTCGTTTCAGGTTTTTTTTACAAGTCCTCCTTCCGTACATGGAAATGTAATTCTAGGGTTGTTTTGGACCTTCGAGATTAAAGTTTGCTATATATATATATAACACATATAACACATTATTCCACGAAACTCCCTTTTCATTCATGGTGACGACTGTTCTTAAAATTCGATTATATATACATATAATTATTATTTTGATATGTTATTCAATTAACATACGATTTTTATTTAATAGATCCATTTTACCGATCCAAAGCGAAGCGTTCACCCTTAGGTTTAGTTTGTTTTTTTAAATTATTTTGTTCATCGGATTTGTAGTAAAATAGTTTTTGATGTTAACGCGAAAGCAGACCATGGCATAGACATAAAGAGCCAACCACGGTTCGCCACGTCAGCATAGTGCGTCCAATATGCGCACAGAAGGTTTTGTAGTTTGCCAACCGCCAAAGCAAAGAGGAGTTTTCCCCTTCGAAAGATTAAATAAAAAAGATCGGCTTTATCCGAGGGGGCTCGATTCTCTCGGAAATTTCTCTCCTTTCGACGTGCAAGTTCGAACCCACTGAAGGATTCAGGGTGTTTTTTTTTCGGGTAACAGATTTAATCTGCTGCTCTTCACAGTTTGCATGAGTGGGTTTTTTTCGTTCGTTTTGTGACTTTTGTCTGTGTATCGTTTTCGGAATCTTCGATACTTTTGCGGCTTCGCTGATTTAGGGTTTTCCGAATGTTGTTTACTGGGTAATTCGCTGCTTCCTTTGCTGCCATTGTGTTCATTTGTGGTTCCTGCATTTGTTCATTGTGTTGTTTGGTTACTGAGAAAATTTGTCGAGGGCCAAGAATCTGAGGAAAATGACCCAGATCGGGAAACTCGTATAAATGAGCTGCTTTTGTCTGTTGGAGATTCAAAACTCGGTCGTAACATTTTGGTAGATTGGAAATTTCCGAACTTGGTCGTAACAGAGTATTTTTCACGTCGTTTCTCTGGACAAAGATTATAGATTTGAAATTGTTAACCCTTCGTGGTAATTATTTATTCTCTCGTCATACTCATTCTCCGTCGTTCCCGTTGTTGATAATATATTCTTTTTTTCTGATTATATAGTTTTTGCTTTGCTGCTTTTCATAACGCAGGTCGTCTGCTCTTATTGAATCCAAGTGTTCTTTGCAACTAACATTGCACCGACGTAGGAATAAGGTTTTATCTGTTGAACTTCTCGTAGCCTGAGGAAGGATTTATCTCTTAGGGGTGAAACTGATGATAGGCAGAAAGGCAAATTTCTTAACTCCAGATCTGTAATGCATACAAGCCGTGGAACAGTTTGATCAGATTTGAAACCGATTGATTCTTTTGGTTGATGTAAACATTGCATCCGTAAGTTGTGTCTCCAAATGGGCCGGATGAGTGTTCTCTTCTCTCACTTTTTGCTTGTTGGTTTGGCGGAGTCCTCAAATAGATCCGGTAACATATGGGTTCTGAGCCTTGGCATTGATCAGGGCAAGGCCTTCAGCTGGCCAATTTTCAGCGCCAGCATTTTCGTGGGTGTTGCCGTTATCCTCTCCACGTATCTTATCTTCGAGCACCTAGCTTCTTATAATCAGCCAGAGGTGTGCTTTCATCTATTTACCTCTGTTTGGCCTTTAATGTTCTCTCGCCCATTTGAAATTGGAAGTTTGCTCTTATTGCTTTATATGCATAGCTCTTCTATGAGAAAAGTTTGGAGTGTTTGTATTGTGGGATTGCTATACTTGAATCTTGATCGAGTCATTTAGTTGGCTATATCTGTTTTAACAGCTTAAAGTCTCCTTTTTGCGTTTCAGGAGCAAAAGTTTCTTATCGGACTTATTCTGATGGTTCCTGTTTACGCTCTAGAATCGGTAGGATTAATTACTATATATGTATTGATTTTCCCTTGTTTATAGTTTCGATTTTCTTAGAAATTTATGTTCTGCGTATAATTTTCTAATTCTGGCATCCTTATAATTTCTTGACCAGCTCTTGTCATTGTTGAACTCAGAAGCAGCTTTCAACTGTGAGGTGATTCGAGATTGTTATGAAGCCTTTGCACTCTACTGTTTTGAGAGATATTTGATAGCTTGCCTAGGTATGCTTAAATAACTGTAGTTTTACGTTCTGAGCTTCAAATTTCCATGATCAAGTCTCTGGCTGAACATGCATGTTGGATACTTAATTTGATCCAGAGGTAATTTTCCCCATTGTATCTGCAGGTGGGGAAGAACGTACAATTGAATTCATGGAACAGCAGACAGTTATTAGCCCAGACATGCCTCTTCTGGAAGACTCGTGTTATGAAGTTGTAGCACATCCTTTCCCTTTGAATTGGTTCCTAAAAGATTGGAATCTTGGTCCTGAATTTTATCATGCTGTGAAAATCGGCATTGTTCAGTACGTATGTGCCCATTCTTGATTCTAGTGAGAAAGTTTTCTGGTTTCATGGTTCGATGATGTATTTCCGAGCTTCTATTAATAAAAATTCTCTTCTGCAGATGATATTGAAGATGATCTGTGCTCTGTTGGCTATGGTCCTTGAAGCTTTTGGGGTTTATGGAGAAGGGAAGTTTGAGTGGAAATACGGGTAAGATGACCTCTTTCCCCCCTTCCTTGCAGAGTTGTTCAAATTGAAATGCGTGAATTCATTCTTGCTTGTTTTTCCTGATATTCTCCTATTATTATTCTCACGCAGATATCCGTATCTGGCCGTGGTTCTCAATTTCAGCCAGACTTGGGCATTATATTGCCTTGTACAGTTCTATTCTGTCATAAAAGATAGGCTGGCCCCGATCAAACCACTGGCCAAATTCTTAACGTTCAAGTCTATCGTGTTCCTCACGTGGTGGCAAGGTGTTGTGGTTGCATTTTTGTTCTCGATGGGAATTTTTAACGGGTCTTTAGCTAAGGAACTGAAAACGCGTATACAGGATTACATCATCTGTATCGAGGTAGGATTCAAAATAATCTATGCTTCTTTTTTTCTTTCAGTTTTCGCTAATTAAATAGGTCTGAAATTATGTAAGCTTGAGGATTCTTCTGCTTGGCTTGAAATCAAATTTTGGGTTTTCACAGATGGGTATTGCCGCTGTAGTCCACCTCTATGTGTTTCCTGCAGTGCCTTACAAGCGTGGAGAAAGATGTGTTCGTAATGTATCAGTAATGTCAGATTATGCCTCTTTAGATGCACCTCCTGACCCGGAAGAGGTTCAGGACTGTGAAAGATCTACTAGGATACGCTACTCAAGATTTGATGATGATGTTGGTGAAAAACGCTTAAATCTCCCTCAAAGTGTTCGTGATGTCGTTCTCGGTAGCGGTGAAATTGTAAGTGCTTGCTTTCTTCTTAACCTATGCTGTTGACTTTGATTGATCTACTTTGAGTAATTTTGAGTTTTCTGTTTTCTTTTCCCTCACCCATCTTTCTTGGTATGTGGCCTTTCCTTTGCTATAGATTGTGGATGACATGAGGTTCACAATTTCACATGTTGTGGAACCGGTAGAAAGGGGAATCGCGAAAATAAACCAAAAGTTTCATCAGATATCGGAAAACGTGAGACGATACGAGCAGCAAAGAAGGTTGTCTAAGGATGATTCGTATCTCATTCCACTGAATTCATGGACCAAGGAATTCTCAGAGGTTCATGAAAACTCCCAAGAAGGGAGTGTCAGTGACAGTGGTTTGCAGAAAGGAAAGAGGCAAAGTCACCATTCTAGAGTCTTGGGCTTATGGACAAGAATGCGCAGATAATATAATACCTGGCTGCAGAATTGAAATGATGGCTCCTGAGTCCTATCTTCAACTCCTTGGAGAACACCTCTTGCAATTTTTTTTTGTAGATTTCCGATGATGATGCCGATGTCCGGGAGTAGTTATAACTCGGGCATGCAGAAGATCATCATCTTCACACGATGATACACTCTGGTAAGAGATTCTGACTGTTTCCATGTGTTATTGTATAGGACTTAGAATGCAGAGCTAGCTACCACTGGTTATGTGGTGACAGAGAAATAGATCTATAGCTTCAGCAAAAACAAAGTGATTTCACATTTTTAGTTTTTTAACTTACATTTCTACTGAAAGTGTCATGGATGCAAAGAATTCATAGATAATGGAATGAGTGACAGAATACAAATTTGTTCTGATAGATTTAGCTTAAGATGGATTCTGGAAGTGTTTTCTTGGAGGGTTGTGATACGTTTTGATGACAGAAAAAGTCGTAACAGTTACATACGGGCATTGATGATGAGTTTAGACAAGTTGTATGCTTTGTGTCTGATGCTTATTCTCATCAAACTGGAACTGAAACTGAGACGGGAGTTTGTGATTTGATACACAAATGACATGATGATGATCATTAACATTATGATCGCATAAGATGAAGAAATGGGTACATCATCCCTTCTTTTAAACCCAAATAAACCGAACATAAACAAGGATTAAACCGGAAATCTGAAACCGGTTATGTACAGACTTCTCTGTTTACCAATCAGCAGAAGAAACAGAGAACTGAAGCATCATCATCTTCCATTGCCAACTTCAAGAAGAACGATACCGTCCTTCATGCTGTCATCATACGCAGAGCTTGTGCCAGTGTTGAACTCAGCCGCCGAGTCCATATGTCCACCGAGTAGATACACAGTTTCTTCGGAATACCTTTCTTGCTTCATCATCCATGGATGCTTTCCTGTTTCTCTCAAAAGCCCTTCTAGTTCCATTGCCACTTCTTTCATTGTTGGCCTGTCATCTCCTCTCACCCGTAAACACCTCTTGGCGAGATCGGCAACTTCTTTCAGATGCTCGGCTTTGCATTCCTTCACCACACACTGCTCGATAATCTCCAAAAACCGGTCTTCTTTTAATGCAGAGAGGAAGTACATTGCAAGACTCCTCTTCTCTTCCGACCTTTCGAAAGATACTGCCTTTTTTCCTGTCAAAAGCTCCAAGAAAAGAACTCCAAAGCTGTAAACGTCGCTTTTCTCGGTCAATTGGCTTGTCTGCAAATATTCTGGATCGAGATACCCGAGAGTTCCTTGAACCATTGTAGACAAAGCTACTTCATCCAGAGGAACTAACCTCGACGATCCAAAGTCTGAGACTTTTGCCGTGTAAGAATCATCCAGAAGTATGTTTGTGGACTTGATGTCTCTGTGTATGATCGGTATAGCAGCAGAAGAATGTAAGTAGGACAAAACACCTGCAGTTTCGGTGGCAATCCTCAAACGGGTCTCCCAATTCAGCGCCGAGACATTGCTTTTATTATTGTGGATGTGGTCAAAGAGGGTGCCATTGGTGATGTACTCATAGACCAGCAAAGGCACTTCGGTTTCGAGACAGCATCCTAAAAGCTTCACCACATTTCTATGGTTGATCTGAGAAAGAATGAGCATTTCGTTGATGAATTGCTCAATCTGACTTTGATCAATCACCTTTGACTTCTTGATGGCAACTACTCGCCCATCGGCCAAAATGCCTTTGTAAACCGTGCCATAACCTCCTTTGCCCGTGATTTTGCTGTCATCATAGTTGTTTGTAGCTTTCTTGAGCTCTTCAGCCGAGAAGATCTTTGCAGATTCTCTATTTGATGATGCTTCCCTTGCAGAAAGCTCTTGCTGCAACATTAGCCCTCCGTTTTCCTTGAAGAACTTCTCCCTCAGTTTCACTATCCTCCATTTCTTGTATCCAATGTACATCCATATCATACTTGCAAGCACCACTGGTATGCCTGCTCCAAGTCCTGCACCAAAAAAGTTTCAAAACAAGCTTCCAATTACATACAAGTCTCTCTCATGACTTCAAATGAATGTTTTTACTCACCAATTGCCAGCTGAAGCGTTATAGATTGATCTCGAGTGCAACCTAGGCCACCTTTTACTCCATCTCCATGGTATCCTTTGGGACAAGCACAGCTATAACCTCCCTCCAGTTCGTTGCAGACATGCGTGCAGTTATTCAGATTCTTATTTTCACATTCTTTTATGTCTGCAAAGAGGGTTGACACACAACCTATTACTAATAACAAAAAAAAAAAAGAGCATATAGAAAGCAGACATGGAGGAGTTGATTACCATGACAACCATCAGGATGGTATGGATTCCCTTCATACCCATCTCGGCAAATACATTGATAGCCGGACCCGTTTGATGCATCAGTACACTTGCTATTTCTTCTGCATGCATAGCTCGTCTTGTTCTCTTGTGCTTCCTTGCATGGCACATTTCCTATTGACCAGTCAAGAACTGCTGGGATGACCTCGATAAGATCGAGATCACGGAGATCATTTGAGGTAAAGTTGAAGCTTTTTTCTTCCACGACAAAGGCAAAGCTACAAGGATTGAAATCCCAGACGTCCACATGGTTTCTATAGCTACTCAAACTGATGTTGAAGAAACTCACTCCTTTAGCAATGGAGGTTTGACAGCACCCGATACCCGAGCATGATCCATTCGCTACGTAGCTTATATCATCACATATCGATAAGCATCCAGTTGTGTACCCTTTGTCGGAATCCTTCTGGAAACCTCGGATTGAAGCCTCAGTATCACATCCAACGGCAACAAACTTGTTCTCAGTGTCTGAGATGATGAACTTGGCCAAGGTGAGGGATGGAATATTCCCATAAATATACGATCCTGATTGGTTATAGCAGTTGCGAGCAATGAATTGCATGATGTGCAGTTTCCCATCAAGTCTTATGTTTGTGACATTGATGTCACTATGTGTCAAGAAAGCAAGAGGAGGGTCATAAGTATGATTGCAAGTTATCAAAAATTGTTCATCATAATAACACCCTTCTGAAGTGCCGAACGGATATGGGATGGTGACATTCCCACAAGTCTCCACACAACCTTGTTTCGCCAGAGGGAACGTTGTGTTTGATGCAGAAGCTACGGGATAAACTGTTGCAAATAAGATCACGAGAAGAGCTCGAATGTTCAAGGACATGCTGACTAATTTTTATCTCGTCACGTGGTGAATGTTTTTCCTGCAGTAAGAGAAGGCAATTTGAAATGACAGATCCAATCAAATGTTATAGTGATTCCAATGGTGAAGCGTCAAACAAAACATGCAGCGTGATAAAAAAAAATATGCAGCTTTTATCCCCAAGAACAGTGAAAGAATGACACTTAGAGGCATCATCACAAGAAGAAAAGGGAAGTTAGAAGCTCTTCGAGGGACTCAAATTAAGAGCAAACCATGACATCTAATAGTTAAAACGAGACAGAACACACACTTCAACAAGTTACTAGAGTATATATTTATGCCTACCAAGGAAAAGCTAACAGGCAAGATGTTATCCAATAACAGAACTGAAGAGATCAAAGATAACAACTAAAGAAGATTCACCAAGAAAAAAATGAGAGCCAAATATATTTTCCCCGTCCATTGAGGTTGACAAAGAAGAATCATAACCTCCTTGAGCTATATCAACAGCCAGATCTTCTTGTCTGAGTGAGAGTTGCTTTCTTTTCTTCCGAAGAAGAGAGATCGAAACAAGAACAAACGCCCAAGATGTTTATAGCCGAGTATGTCATTACGAATAAAGACGGGCAAAGAAGGAAGTTGACCTCCATGGAAGACCATAAAGCCATACAATGGGAAAAAATCAAACATATTTTCTTTGTCATATTCATTCTCCAGCCATGTCAGACTTTTCTTCATAATTTGTACAACTTGTGGGCAAGGAAAGAGCTGAGGAGAGGTTAAAGAATCAAAATGTCATAATCAAGCTACGGGCTAATGTGATATAAAATCAAGCAAATGTCTCTGTCAAAGATCTTAAACAAAGGAAACACTTGTTTTGCTAGTGGATTAACAAAAGGCATCTCATGTCATTATGTGAGCAAAAACGATATTAACAGTAGTAATAAAATTGAAAAAAAACAAAAACCTTCCTCACGTGGTTATTATAGGACAATGTCGGTGAAATCATCACTACGTCTTTTGGTACAAAACATGTTCAAACCACGGAGTAGACACGGCAATAATCTGTTGATATGTCAATGTCTGATCTGAGTATCAGAATGATTGGTCATGGAAAATACAAAGATGTGGGGAAACAAATGAAACTATTGCACACAACTTGATGAATGAATATCCCCTATTGTTTTTGTTAAATTATGTGTTAATTGGCGATTGATTTGGTAGTGGCTAATTGAATATCTTCTTGTTGCCTATGACTTTACATCAGCCTCAGGACAAAGTCCATGAAGATGGCTTTGGCAGCTTCGGTCTGCGACTTTAAACGAAGATTTTACCGATTCAATGGCTGCTTAAACACAGCCCACAGCTTTTAGGTTCCTCATGTAACGTAAAGTTAGCAACTTCAACACCAATCATACAAATTCATGGGAAACATCATATTGGGCTGATGGAATAACAAAATTTTGCAGAATTTTTCCTCTTTTTCTGGAAAAATCTTGATCGCAGACCAAGCTTGCTCTTACATCTCTTTGGTAATTAGCCTAAAATTACAGAACAATGATTCTAGAGATTGCGAATCTCAGATTAAAATCAACTATTAAGAAATTGAAACCTCTTATCAACAAAATCAAATGAAAAAAAGTAGAAAAAGAAAAACTTACGGTGACAGCCGGAAGAATTGAAGAATACGGAGGCGGCGGTCGTATTCCGACGGTTAAAAAACTAGTGGGAGCCATGGTAATTGCGTCACCGTCGATCAGCATGCTCCGCCGTCTCGAACTCGCCGGCAACCGCGCTTCGATGTTTTGAAAAGCGGAAACTAACGTATGATCCATGAGTGTACTGAAAACGCTGCGTTTTCTTAAATGTCAAAACGCAGCGTTTCGTTGCTTTCCTTTTTTTCATCTGTTATTATATTATAAAAATGGAAATATCTCGTAGTAGGTAATGAAAACAATATCTAATATTTTTAAATGGTACGGTTGTATGTAAAATTTAAATATAGAACTTATATATATTATCTTCAAAACTAGACTTGAATTTGAGATAGAATGTGAAAATGTATCTTATGAACCATTAGAATTTCATTATTACGTATATGGTTTTAAAGGCATATATATATATAACTGTATTCAGCTCAATTTATTATTATCCAATTTCAAGCCAAAACCATACAGGAAATTGATGTCAGAACCATGAATTATGAAAACACAGGAGCGTTATGCGTTTACTGAGATTTATGTCTTCATTTAAAATTTCAAAATTTTCTAAATGCACGTTTCGTTTTGGACAAGAGAGAAAAAGGAAATGAAAGTAAAATAACATTTTAAAAAGACATACAAATTATATTTATTTCTAGTACTATTACATTTTCTTTTTTTACTTTTAAATTTTTTCTTAAAACTATTTAATATATTTAAATTCATTTGGTATAGGATAATCCTAAGACTTTGGAAACCCTAAAAATGACCGCGCTCGAAAAAGTTGGGCGAAACGTGTCTGAGATTGTGAAGGAAATATATGTTATAGATACGGTGAAAATTCATTGGAGATTATGGTCAATGGAAAATTAAGATTATAAAATATATGAAAAAGACAAGAAATATAATAAAATTTATATATTTAATATAAAAGATAAAGAAAATAAACCTAAATATCCTTAATAACGTTCTAAAGTTTTTACTTTTTTTAATAATATCAAACACCATGAATATAATTTGATTCCTTTTTTTCTATAATTTCTTCAACCCAATTAGTTTTTTTTTTGGTTAAACAACCCAATTGGTTTGGTTGAATGAAAAAAATCGAGTATGCATTAATTCGGTCCAAGTTATGGAATTTATAAATCATGGGGTGAATTATTAGTTAATATTGCACGAAATTACGCGTCGTATTTTGGATTTACCGTCACACCATTAACATATATATCCATCAAGAAAACACACCGATGCGTACGCAGGAGTTTGGTCGTTGAACAAGACCAGATAATCCGATGGTCACAGATACAGGCACATCCAATGCTCTCTCTCTCTCTCTCTCTCTCTCTATGTATGTGTGACACAGACATATATGCGTCCACACACATCTCTCTCTATATATATATATGTCTGTGTGATACACACATGTATGCGTTCACACAGACAGAGACATATGTATATATATGTATATGTATATGTATATGTATATGTATATGTATATGTATATGTATATGTATATGTATATGTATATGCGGTTACACAATATACTTAGATAATACAAGTTTATGATAATATTTTTTTCTTATAATAAGAATATCTATTGTAAATATTTATATCTGGGTTTAATTTTTTTTTTTGGTTTTACAAAAAGTTACTTTAATTGGTAAAATATCTATTAATTTTGATAAATTATTTTTGTATTGGATTTCGTTTAAGCAAAATGGAACGCAAGTGCTACAAACGAGGGCAGTCGATGTCCATCAGAGACGAAACATTATTTAATCACGTGATCAAACGACGACGACAGGACATGGCAGATGATCGGAATGATCAAGGGGAGGTGGGGTACACGCGCCGCCTCGTGTCGCCGGCGGAAGGAGGTGGTTTCTTGGGTTTAACGGCGGAGACAATGGCTTCGTACATCATCTTCTTCACGAGCTTCTTCTTCTTAGGGATCACGCTCCCTTCTTTCCTCGGAAACGGCCTCTGCTCCTCTTCGCCCGACTTCATCTTCAGCCTATATATATGTATGTATGTATGTATGTATGTATGTATGTATGTATGTATCTCTCAGAGAGAGAGAGAGAGAGAGAGAGAGAGAGAGGGAAGTGAAGTGAAGCCCTTGCATGCAAGAAGTCTAGGGTTTTATAAATAAGCAAAGGGTACGTACACAAAATCGATCTCTCTCGTTTGGGAAACTTCACAGAAATGACCACACAAATTTACACGGCGCGGCTGTCTCTTACATCTTTGGAAAGGAAACTTCAGAGAAACGATCACACACCACACCACACCCCTTCTCGTACATTTTCTGATCACTTCATCAGTTGCTTTACGGTGTTGGAAAATACGTACACGTTGATATAAGATACGTACGTAAATACGTAAGCATTTATTTATATATATAGAGAGAGAATTCAATAATTTGTAAACGTTATATTTATTTATGTAGAGAGAACCAATTAGTGAATTCAAAATGGCCAGCAGTAAAGAGGATATGTAGTATTACATAATACAAAAGTTTGTAACAGAGCCAATATAGTGAAAAATATAGTTTGTTATAATAATTAAATCGTTTTTTTTACGAATATTAAATCTAGGGAAAATAAAGAGGAAGCTTCGTTTGCTTTACAATCTGTGTAAAGTTTAAATTTTGTTTATCATGCGGTCCGAAGGAATTCACATGAAATCTAAATTAAGTTACGATCGGATCGATAATAAGAACAAAATCAGTGGGGGGGTCTTATACTCTCTCTCTTCGGCCAATATACGTGGCAAGTGGGGTCCACTAGCCCAATAATACAGACCGTTTATATAGTTGTTTGAAAGGGGGGGGGGAATCTCTTTTGTATCTAATTCAACAAAAAAGACCAACGCTCATAAATTCATCGACCGAGTAAGAAATTATAAGGTTTCTCGATCGCAATCAATAAAGCGGATCGTTGCATTACCGACCAACGTCTTGAAGAACAAAAATTTCCAAATAGCATGGATTATATATATATATATGTATGTATGTATGTATGTATGTATGTATGTATGTATGTATGTATAAAATGTTTGATGTTGTGGATGCAAAGACGCGTGGTTCGCGACACGACGTCATCTTGAACAATCATTAGATACATAAAAAGACAACCTCAATATCTGTGAAGGAAGGTTCTTGGAAACCGACAGTGAGGTAACGGGATTCGTTAAGGAAGTTGATGACGCTGTGAAGGAAAAAAGAAAAATAAAAATAAAAATGCTTTTAACAAAAAATCTGAACATTTGCAATTTAGTATTTTAAAAAAATCGATATGCATTGCACCAAAATTACCCTTATTTTGCTATATATATATTTTAAAATATACTTTTTAAATTTATTTTTATTTGATCACAATTATTACTATGTAATGGTCACATTAATTATAAAATTTTACCGGTCTGATTAGTGTGATTAATATGATTATGATTTAGTTTTAAAGGTGTGATCAACGTAATCATGAAATAGATAGTGATGATCACGCCGAAAATGATGTATTAGGGTATGTTTTGAAATAAATGTAAGTAAATTAAAAGTATTTTTGATAATGTTTCTCTTGGGAGAATTATGTGGGCCACCACATTGCGTTTTTCATTTTATCCGGTAGCACGACGTCGTTTTGAATCATGTTTAGCAGAACCTGCAAAAAAAAAGCCCAAAGAAAATACAAAAAAAAAAAGGAAAGAATGTAGTAGAATGTGTAGAGAATGAAACCCTTAGGGTTATGAAAAAAGTTGAAGGGATTTCTCAAAATTTCATTAATCGACTACTATCTGTTCTTGAACTTTGAGAGTGTTGGCTGCATTAAGAAGCATGTCCATTCCTCCAACACATATATCCAACTCTTCTGTTTCGTTATCTCCCGGTTTTATCTCGATATCCCCGGCTTTTCTCCTGCTTTTCCCGACCTTTTCAATCGCTCTCTGGATCCCGGATTCACAACCCGTGCAGAACCACTTCCCTTCCGGAACTGATGTATGCGGAGGTTTCATGATATAGATGTGGTATGCATCGTCACATAAAACAATCTTATCATCGTCTTTGTTGGTAAGGCTCTTCTGTTTCGTTATCTCCCGGTTTTATCTCGATATCCCCGGCTTTTCTCCTGCTTTTCCCAACCTTTTCAATCGCTCTCTGGATCCCGGATTCACAACCCGTGCAGAACCACTT